AAAAGGTGGTACCAAATTTTAGGAGTATGCAGTACTCATAAAAAAAGTCTTAATAAGCATTACTCCAAATTTATTTTTGTGTTATGAAGCATTTTTTGCTGTAATAAATAAAAATAAGTTTAATCTACAGCAGATGTTCGATGTGCTCTCCGTTCATTTCAACACATAATTTGACACGCTTTGTCATTGAAGATCGAACATTCAAAACAGGTTTATTTTTTATTTGTTGACAAAAGTGTTCGATGTTCCGTATCAACTCATTCATTATGTCAACTGTGACGTACACTATGCTCTTCAAATATCCATAATAAATAAGGAAATAACAAAAATTCCCGTAAATAAAAAGTTGACGAATTTAAATCCGGTGAGCGAGGTGGCCATGCAAGTGAACCACCACGTCCTATTCATTTTTCTTCAAAACAATTATTTGCTTTGCATAAAATGAATGTGTCATTTCAGAACTTGTGTAAAAATTAGTTATTTTTCAAAGAATACGATACAAGACACTGTCAACAATTAATCATTTCAATGCTGAACAATACATTAGTAATCAATGTGCAATAATAATAGATAGTCTTTCGCGGGCGTTCGTGGACGGACTGACACAGAGAATTGAAAACTGTAAACCCAAAAATAAGATGGTAGGGGCCTCACGACATGATTCGTCAATGGGCAGCCGTAAAAATGGGCAGTCGATATCTGTATTTAGCTCGCTAATAGATAGGTATTACAAGCGACAATCAAAATTATACAATAGTGATGCTCCTAGTCGAGCTCACTCAATGAGTAATTCTGAAAACACAAATCTACATCCCGGGTGGAAACGTCCTACCAAAATCCTCGGAACAGAAACCTGACACATCTCAAGACGAAATCCACCCCTTGAACTTCTTATATTAACTGCAACATTACGGAACTCAATCACTCCACTTCAGTTCTTCACTTCACATCGGTCCAGCTTTTCTCTCTGGTTCTCTTCTCTTCTCTTCCGTTTTACAAACATTGTCGTATTCAAGTCCGATACCGAGTTTTAAATTAAATTCTGTGCTCGAAGGTCCGATCCTAGGTTAAAAGGTTTAATTTTCTTGACCTAAAACAGGACCAACGATTGCACCGCTCACGGAAGGCGTCCTAGCGTCCCTACGGGACGTTGACCCATATGCGGAGCTTTTGATAAGTGCGATTTACTCAAGGCACGCGCCTCACTGCGTATATCTGCGAAACAACCGTTAGTATCTGCATTGAGTCCTTCCATACCCACCATTGCACCCCTAACTAGCGCGATTTCTTCGCTTTCTAGCTTACCAAAATCCTGATATTCGGACGTAAAAAAACGTACCTATTGTCTCTAATTGTCTATTATATTTTCAATATAACTTACTATTACAGAATAAAGCAAAAGATATATTTTATTACAGGTGTTGAGTGTACATCGGTATCTTATTTTACTGTTCTCTATTCTATGAGAAAGAATTAAAACTATGAATTAATTATAATAAATAAAATTAGTTCTAATTTGGAAGCGACAGAATGGGAACGGAACGGTAAAGGTGAAAGAAGTAGAAATGTTGAAATCATTCCGATCTCGCATTTTAGGTGATGTGTGAAAAATCGGGATTCTAGATTGTAATCCGACAAAATTGAGTACAATAAAAATTCTTTGTTGCTGAGATTTTGTTTAATTGTTATTAAAAAAGATTTCTGTTTGCAAATGCAATAAATTTTTGATTGATTCCATTATTAAATAAAATTCAAAAAAATTTTTCTGTATTAGTTATCTTCTTATAGCGCAATCAACTGTTACGTTATTTAATTTTCAACGATATTTAGTAGTATATATTTCCGATATGTAATTATCGGAAATATACTCAAGTAAGGGAGATCGGGGCTATATGGCTCCAGGGATATGTTGCTTATTAGCTATTTTTTAATATTTATATTCAAAAGAACAGTGGATGAAAAATCGCGAAATGGTTTTTTTTAGGATCTAAAAGAGCCTTCCGTCCAAATCTCGATAAATATAACAGCTGCTGACATCTGCAACAACGTCCAGTTGAGTCATGTCTTTGGGCAGTGGAAAAATTTGCACTGACCAATATGCTAAGGGATGTATGTCCAATAACGTTTTCTGCAGATAAACGTATAAATAATTTTCCTGCTGTAGAGAAATGTCGGGCGCGTGCTTCAATGTTCGGGCGTGTGTGTCACAGTGGAGGTAAGAACCTCGCTGTTTGTCACTCCCGTATGAATATTGCAGTTTGTCATTTTGCCAACGGAGCAGTTTTCATAACGAATCAAAAGATACGAATATCGGCGGCAAAAAACAGATTTTCACAGAAAAGACCAAAAATGCACTATTCACTTTAAATTGTCATAAATCAGTAAAAAAAAATTATAGCGTAATAATTAAAAAAACATTTTAAAGAGAAAATGTTAAATTTTACAATGTAATCAATAAAATTCAAAGAATAAATTTTGTTCTCCATGTGCACGCTATAAAAGTTGAAGTTTATTCTTCAATTTTGCAATGTCCAATTTAAATTAACGCCGTTTGTAGTCAAATCTTCGCAAAAAAGTCTCGAAACTGAAGACTCAAGCTTTAAAACGCTTTAAAAAGCTTTAAAACATCACTCTGCGATCTTTTTTCACAAAGATATGTTACTTTGAATTATGTGCGCTGATTTATTAAAGTAGCCCGAATTTTTTGCGGGTGAGTGTATATTAGTAAAATTATTTTTGCTGAGGAAAAAATTATTTTCGATAACATTATCTGATTTATTAAGTATACTAACAACATAATTTACTAATTTGAAGCTGATATACTAATACTTAGCATTGCTTAGGTAAATCTACCATCGATCAAGAGAAAAGAGGAGAGATACCCTTCCACTGCTTTTCCGTCAAATACATCTCTGTGCTCACGAAGAGATGATTTGTCTCGAAACTCGACATTTTAACGTCAATCGAATCCTGCTGCTTGCCGTTGGTTTGTGGCCTTATCAACGATCGCGAGTCGTTGAACTTCAGTTAATTTTATTCCTTGGCACTTTGATAATTTTCATTATATTCCAAGTATGTTAAGATTTTAATATTATTATTATGAAATAAGTTACCAAATATTGTATAAACGTTATTTTAATTACACCTATCAAATTTCAAATTATATTGGATAATATTTTATTTTATTAAAATAATATTATTGTGATACAATTATATCCGAATATTAATTACCTGCTGTTTTTACTAATTTATTGTACATAGTATACAGAGTAACGGAGAATAATAAAATTACAGTTTGCTAATCAGACAATCTACTGTTGCTTTTTTGACATGGCTAATTTATTTATTGAAAATTATTTCTTGCAGTTTACCACATTCTTGACGTCAAAATGTACCCCAGAACATATTCTCGAGATTATTTCTACTACATTTTTCATTACATGCTATGTGATCAAATACAATTCGTTTTGGATTAACGCCGATACTGTAAGAGCGTTATCAATTACCTATGCATTAGTGATAAACAGAATTTTCGAATGTAAAACTGTCGAATTTTTATATTCCTTACTATTAGGACTAAATTTATCTAGTTATTCTTAATTTCCTTTCAGTTCTTCATAATTTGAAGGACTCTACTTCTATTATAATTATAATGTAAAGAGTATTTAAAAAAAAATAACATAAATAATTCCGTCCTAATCAAGAATGCAGAAGTTTGACTATAAGCATTTTGAAAGAAGCATGACCATTTTTGGTGATTTCTGAGCCCTTTTCTATACGGTTCAAATATTATTTGTCATAAAGTCCTGATCCAGCTATGCGAGTTTTTCTGCAAAATGTGCAAGAGAGGCTCTATTAGATTTGTTAGAAACATGATCTTTGCCTCGTTTTCAATTTCATTTACGATATTTTTTTTATATTATCCTATAGATTTAGATCCCAGTAAGGCCTTTATTGGATTTTATCAACTACATAATGGTGCATGCTTGTTGCATGCTTGTCTTGATTCGGCTAAGTTCTTGGATGCTTTATGTTATTTCGCCGTCATGTCAAAGAAAGACAGAGATATATTTCGGATTTTTGTGACAAATCCCCTGTAGTAATGTCCTCCTCTGGAGCCATACGTGGAGGGAAAATAAAACGAGCGTGTAATACATGTACTCAGCTGTTCGTGCAGGTTCACTCAAAACAGTGTATTGTGATGAACACCTACGAGCAGACTGTACGTACAAACTAATAGCGTTTTTTACTGGGAAAACTAGTGTAACACTCGTGCACGCTGAGGCACACATATTTTTAGTGTTTAATGTTCTACTGTGTTTAACTTGATGTCAATAGAACATTAAACACTGAAAATATGTAAACTAATTTTTACATTGGAGCAATAAAATTACACTCACAATCAGTGTGCACCACTGTTGCACTAGTTTTCTCAGTAGAAAACTCTATAAGTGTGCGTTTATGTTGAATGCGCGCGCGAATTTAAAAATATAATATACTGACAAGAGATAACGATCCCGTTCAAATTCGACAAGTTATTATGGAAGTACAAAGTACTTGGTTTATATCTTAATCGGATATAAGAACCGAATGAAGCCTCAGATACCATAATAGGATACTACTGTCATTGTAAAAATGGTCTTTGCACAGTAGATTATTGCGTCCACGTTATAACAGTATCATGGTGTTCAGAATATCGTAGACATTCCTTGTCTATTTCACTCCCAGCAAGCTTCTTGGATTACATGACTGCAAACGTAGACAGTAGTGATTTGAGTGATGGCTACGAAAATACTTATAGCGTCCTCTACTCAAGCTATATTCTAATGTTCCTCTCTTGCATTAGCTGCAAACTTAAGCTACTGGTTACGTTAATCTTCTAACATAAGCTTCTAAATAAACCTTATTTTATTTGCGTAGAAAAGGGCCTAAAATAGTCAACCTCCTTAAAAAAAAAAAAAAAAAAAAGCATAATATTATTGACAGATAAGGAGTTCGCTGGATCGGCTTCAAGATGTATGTAACGAGCTAAGAGATGAGAATGAAATCGCTATTCTAAAAAAATACGGAAGCAAGGCGAAACGTTACACAACTGCAATTATACGTAAGACATGATAGTCGAGTCTTCTGTATGTTTAAAAATTAGATTAAACTTAACCATAAACACATTTCTTTCAAGACAAAACAAGATTCTGCCTGTCCTCAATATAAAAAATTAAAAGGCGACTGAATGTTTGATATATATATATATGTGTGTGTGTATATGTGTGTGTGAGTGTGTAGTTTAATTTTACAAAATTTCTCTCAGTGCTTGGTACATATGGCGCAGGTACATTAACTGCTATGTATATTTGGACATACATTCAACACATTGGTCTGCCTAAAAACGAGTCTCGACTAAACCCTTCAGTGTATTTTATGACAGAATACTTTATTGATAAAGAAAAATATTCCTACTTAATCACGCTGCATGTACTAGCAACTATTTACATAGGGACTGTCTCACTGATAGCGACAGGAACTATGCTCATTGCATATCTTCAACATATCTGCGGAATGTTTAGTATCGCCAGGTAAGTAAATGAATGCTGGAATATAATCATAAACAATATTTGTTTGTTATCTTAAAACAAAATAAAATTAATTGAAGAAATAAAATCATTTTTTTACAGTTATCGAATCGAACAGGCAATCAATATTTTACAAAAAGATATCCTAAAGAGTGAGAACATGGTTTATAAAGAGATTACTTATGCCATAGATATTCATCGCAAGGCTATAAAGTTGGTATATATTTAATAAAGAGCATTGAGTACTCATATAATTACACGAATTTTCTTATACTTAAAGATTCACGGACTTTTTAATATCCAATTTTGAGGGATCATTCTTCTTCTTGATAGCATTCGGCGTGACTTGTATTAGCCTTAATCTTTTTCGGGTAAAACACTTAATCGTAATTTCATGATATTAGAATTTTATGAAATAGTCAAGAAAATAAAAAGAAGTAGCTAAACACTTTTCTACCTATAATATATTTATTGAAAACGATAATTCATGAAAATAATGGTTACCTAATTTTTAAGATACTGTAATTGCTAATTATATGTGTAAGCTAAGTAAATAAATTAGCAATAACTAAATAAAAACTTAATATCAAAACTCTTAATGCTCAATTACTCTCAATAATTCAATATTCTGATCCAATGACATACGAGGGTAAGTCAATAAATAAGTCGCAAAACTGGATAGAGGCAATAATAATCAAAGTAACTTCCTGACATTTATTTTACTTTTCGACATAATCTTTGCGACTTATTTATTGACTTACCCTCGTATAATATATTAAAATTTATCGTGCAATATATATATATATATAATCCAATATGATTCGATCGTGCGTAAGAAGTCGATAGCAAATGCTTAACGGACGTATCACATTTTTTAGCTCGCGTCATATACTGATGAAATTGAAAAACTTGTTGCACCTTTTTTAATGATAAACGTTCTTTACGCGTACTTGTTCTTAGCCAACTATACTGCGCAACATATTACGGATCACAACGAATGTGTATTTGCCACAGTGTAAGAAATATTTCCATCATTTTGTCACACAAGGGTACTCGTTTTGTAATAGAAATCTAATATCTAAAAAGATATTAAAGTAAAAGTATTAATACGATTTATGGAACAAATATATTTATTACTACTAAATATTTTTGTCTTATTAAAACTAGCAATTGTTATTATTTTGTAGATACAACGTTCAGTGGTACAAGGCTCCATTACATATACAGAAAATAATATTGTTTCTACTGCAAAGAGGCACTAAACCTTTTCATATAAGTATCGGTGGAATATTTGTGGCGTCCTTAGAAAGTGCGGCTACGGTAAGAAACATGTATCATATGTTGTAGTTTATAGTAAGTTTTTCTATGTATTATCTCTGAGAATATTGTTTAATCTAATAACATTAACAATAATTTTAAAATATTTTATTGCTATTTTAGTCGAATCACGCTTTACATCACATAAGTCATACAAAAACGTATGGTTTTACTATAATAATTATTATTTACAAAATGTTAACTAACAGCTCAGTACAGCTAGAAAATAGAATAAAAAATAAAAAAAATTATAAAATTTATACTATTATATTTTTTGTTTTATTTCTCTCTCATAGTCAATAATATTACGAAATTAATAATTAACTTTTACTTCAAAACGTCGTAGTTGGATTGTTGAAAAAAATCGATTATCTATAAAACTTATTGTCCCCAAATGTTTGGTTAAAGAAAATTCTATCAAATTTTTAATATTACTTAATATTTTACAAAATAAAGCAAAAGAAATATTTTATTACAGTTGTTTAATACTTCGATATACTATTTTACTGTTCTCTGTTCTACGAGAGAGAACTAAGAGTATAAATTAATAACGATAAAATAAAATTAGTTTTCGGGATTCTACATTGTAAAAACTGCAGAATAATGTTGAAAACGTTGCGTACAATAAAAAATTTGTATTATTCAGATTTTATGTAAGTATAAAAAGTTTCCTTTTTGTAAATGCAATAAAATTTTGAATGGTTTCATTATTAAATAAAATGCAAAAAAAATTTTTTATGATTGCTTTCTTATAACGCAATTAACTGATTTAGTTTATTTAATTTTTAATGATATTTAGTTGTATATATTTCCGATATGTAATTATCTCAAGTAAGGGAAACCGAGGCTATATGGCTCCAAGGGTATGTTGCTTATGTGCTATTTTTTAGTATTTATCTCGAGAGGAACAGTGTATAAAAAATAGAGAAATAATTCTTCTAGATTCTAAAAAAAAAAAACATTACGCGAGTTTCCGTCCATTGTTCCTCTCAATATAAATATTAAAAAATAACACATGAGCAACATATCTCTGGAGTCATATAGCCCCGGTTTTTCATATAGAGAGAGCCTAATGAAATAACCCGCATCTGCACGACAAATAACTGTTGAAAACAATGGACTATTTAATGAAAACAATATTGATTATTTACCAACAACAGAAACGCACTCAATAAACTTTTGCCTGTAACAAACATTTATTTAAAGAAAAAATAATTCTTTTACATATAAGCAAGTCAAGTAACTTGCAAAGATAATGATAATAAATAATTTTATAATCTAATATAAAACAATTTGTATTGAGAAAAGTATACAAATCTGTAAATGCATACATTTATCCGATAAAGTGTCTAACAGTACTCATGATGTTAGATAAGTACAAAATAAAGAATTTAACAGTAACTCTTTCATAACCGGAATAAGCCTCATGACAATATCGAATACAAATTCCATCAAATATAATCATTTTCAAAATTTTCATTGCATCCTGGACAAAGAATTTTATTTGAAGATGTCAAAGACATTTTATCAATGTTTTTTTTCTTTCTTCCGTCGAGGAAGTATAGTCTTTCTCGTCTCTGCTGCCTTTTTCCATTTTCTTGCTTTACTTTCTTTTATTTTTTTCTCTGCTGTCTTTTTGCATTTTCTTGCTTTACTTTTTTTTATTTGGTAACTTATTTTTAAAAGAGAAAGTGACGTATAATTTCTGACTTCTTCAACGACGTTTCTTAGTTTCCAAATTTTATTTTGGTAGCCGACTTATATCAAAAACAGTACCATCAACAAAAAAGTTTATATTTTTATTATCATTAGAATCACTTGATTCTTTCTATCAATTTATTCCGATCAATCATTTCTGTCGGCGCAAAGCTGTCATCACTAATTAATACTTATTTTTAATGGCACGAAGCTATTGAGTGATGAAATAACCAGGTACTTTTGCGTTTTTTGGACTAAAAATTTTTATGTTCTACATCAGGAGGCTAAAACCCCATAAGAACTCATCGATCGATGAATAGATTATTTTACTATTTTTAGACAGATTAACCTAATGGGGAAGAATGGGGAAGACGGGAGAACAAAAGTTGTTTAACACCCTAATTAGAATGACGAAGGTACCCATGGTTTGTATAAAATTGGAAATAATGTAGAAATCAAGCGACGCGATAGCGTTGCGACGCCAAGTACATAAAGAGAGAGCTAGCAGACGACGCTACCAAGTAGCTTATCCGGAGTTTTCAGGCCGATCAATTTTCCGAATCAAATATCTCAAGAAAAAAAACTGCGACCGAAAATCTAACTACAGTTTTCTAATATAATATAGATACGATTGATCCCAATCTGATTAAGTTTGGTGCAGTCAATACTGAGATCTCGAACTCTCACATGTCAAAAATGTGAATTTTTTTGGCGAGATCTCAGCAAGAAGTTCAGATTTCAGTCACACGGTCACGCATTTGCACTCACGCACACGCAAAGCCAGTTTGTCCCTCTGGCCCCTCAAAACGCGTTCATGCCGCTCTGGTCAGTGCAATCAGAGTATAAACCACATTCACACGCTCGCTTACATTTTTTTATGCTGATTGGCTATCTCGCTTATGTGCAGATCGAATCTCGAAATTATCAGAAGAGTAAAATTGATATTAAATGATGTTGGTTAGTTACAGTATCTCAACGGCTTGTAAATGCGTGTCAAAAGGTTAAATTTGTTTCGCGTTTGACAGTGCGAGGTTACAGAAAGAGTTTCAAGAAAAAATTTTTCGAGAGAGAGAGAGAGAGAGAGAGAAGAAACAAAGAAAGAGAGGTACTTTTACATATATTTCAAAAATATTTTAATATATTTTAGTATTATATTTAATATATTTTAGTATTATATTTTAGTATTTTTAAAAACTAATAGCATTCTTAACATTTATAGTGAAGGTCAATTTATTTATTTGGGCACGCCAAGTTTTTGAGTCTTCAATGTTTTCCTTAACGTCTCACCTGGATATTTCAGCGTTTATTATTTATATACATGCAAACAACCAACGAATTAATATAACAAAGTGTAAATGAGAGCTAAGTACTTCTTACGGTAAATCTTACTTAATATATAGATAGCAGTACTAAAAATTGTAATTCAGATTATAACATTGATACTATACATATAT